CTGTCTCAAAGTGTTCATGAGAGAGGAGAGGTTTTACTTTGGCCAGCTGTCTAAGGTGAAAGAAGCTGGATTTAACAACGGCACCAATTTGCCGGTCAAGTTTGAAATCACTGTCCAGTTTAAGGCCCAAGTTTGAGACTGTTGACTTAAGATAAGGAGACAGGAGGCCCAAGTCGACAGGATGGGATGTAAAAGGGCCACTGGGACCAAACAGTATCACCTCTGTCTTCTTTTCATTGAAAGTCAAGAATTTTTGTGCCATCCAGGTTTTGATTTCTTCCAGGCAGGATAGAAGTGGCCTTAATGAGAAGGCGTCTTTTTTGCTCAGTGGGACATAGATCTGGCAGTCGTCTGCATAGCAGTGGAAGGAAATACCATGTTTCCTTAAGATGGAACCCAATGGGAGCAGATACAGCGAGAACAGCAGAGGCCCCAGAATTGAGCCCTGTGGAACACCACATGACAGGGGAGCAGTGCGTGACTCAGAGCAGCTCTGTAGCTCTGCCTAACAAAACATCATCCATAACAAAACAAAATGCACAACAAGAGTGATCATATAGTGACTATTGACAGAAAAGGGGAAAAAACGCACATACACTTATTCACGTGATGCCACTGAACACATCACATGCAGCAGAACGGCTGCGCAATGTACAATAATGGCGGCCGCGACGAACTGCGGGCACACGCCAGTAACACAAACAGCCAGCCAAACGAAAAACGACACGAACAACTATATACAGTAAAACCGACAGAAAACAAATATTACCTGCAACACAGTATGGCGGGAGGAATAGGTGAAGTCACGGGGATTTTCGGTCTCAGAAATAACTGCGCAACAGAAAAGCACTATGAACTCAATGGGTGAAAACTTCCATTCGACAAAACTTAAATTAAATAATGATACAAAAAGCAATGTGAACTCGGAACAAATCAGGGAACTAATTAAATACACAGCACCGTAGAAAAAGGAAAAACAAAGTGAAATATTGTCATTAAATTAGAAATGAATCTGGACCGTCAATGAAATGCGATTTACCCTGTGACTTCCCTGGTAGCTCTGCCTGAGCTGCGGCGGAAAGCTGGTGCCATACCAACTTTTGCCAATGTCTCACTGAAACGACACACATGTCCTCACATTTATTCCTTTCAGGGACAGCGGTTACTACAGTGGACAGCTTACCATGTTGTCAGGTTACAGGGTGCATGAAAGGGTTAAATAATAGAAGTCTCACTCCTTTCCTTGTGTTCTTTCATCTGTTGCAGGTGAATCTTCCGAGAGCAGTTGTCATTGCCGTCTCGCTGGTGACTAGCTTGTATCTGCTGGTGAATGTCAGCTACCTGACAGTAATGACGCCGAAAGAGCTAATTTCATCCAGTGCAGTGGCCGTCACATGGGGGTGAGTAGCAGCACCTGACAAAGATGTTTCACCTGGAAAATCAATGAGTTGTAGTGTATACTGGGAAACAATGACATGGGCTTGAGCGGGAGCTTTTCACAAAAACAAAGAAACAAAATGAACTGTGCTGCGTAGCTCACTAGTGAGTAAAGGCCACTAAAGTGGGGGAGCTGGGGCCACCACCATGGCAGGCACTCTTACTTTCTAGAAGTCCATTTTATTTTGAAACCAATCTGGACAGAATCACATGTTAACTGCTTACCAAGCATATATTAGTTTCATTTATTTTGATTTATTGAGCTTCTATTTTCTGAATTTGAGTTACAAAGGAATACACTTCAAGTGTAATGTGATGACTTTTTTCCTAAATGTTGCAACTATTTTTTACTTTGTTTCACAACAACTGCTCTGAGAGCAGTCAATAAAATAAGAAAGCTATTGGTGGTCCTTTACATGTACTGTGCACTTAAGCCCATTTCGGGTTCCGACCCTTTGCTCAGCAAACCTTGTGGAAATTATGTGGTGAGGAAACATTGCAATGAACCTGAAACTTTTCTACCCACAGAAACAAAGTGTTAGGATCCTGGGGGTGGATCATGTCATTAGCTGTAGCTTTGTCAACTTTTGGGACACTAAACGGGTCATTCTTCGGCGATGGTCGTGTGTGCTTTGTTGCTGCACGTGAAGGACACATGGTGAGAATCTAGCTGTTTTAAAATGAAGAGATATGTTTTCCGTTGTTCTCCACATTGAAAAACAATTCCATTCTTGCTTCCTGCTGCTTAGAGTGTAGATGTGTCTGCTGCTTGGTCCGGCTTTTGCTTGCATTCTTTCTGAAGAAAAACTCTTTTTATGCATTGCATTTGTGTGGACTGTGTTCTCAGTCCTGACTTTAAATTGAGTTTGGCGCACTCTAGTGTTCAAATTGGAAAATACACTAAATCGATTCCAAATTTAAATTGGATGAACTGCCTATTCCTGGGAGATAACCGTTAACTTATTCATTTGTTTCGCAATAAATCCATCACCATCACTTCATCTTGACATGGCGCTTCTGTTACATCTACATGTCTTTTATTTTAGGCCTCGGCTCAATCCAACAGCGCACATCTTAAAACTGCATCGTGTCGTCACAACACAATACAATTGTGCGCGCGCGTGTGTGCGTGAGTGTGTGAGTGTGTGCGTGTGTGCGCGCGCGCGCGCGCGCGCGTGTGTGTGCGTGTGTGTGTGTGTGTGTGTGTGTGTGTGTGTGTGTGTGTGTGTGTGTGTGTTTAAATAAAGGTTATTAACCTATAAATTTCAAATCAGAGCTCGACATTCTCCAAATAGAGCATCCTTCTAATTAATGACTTATTTCAAGAGGGTTTTTTTTTTTGTCGGTTTACGCATTTCAAACTTAATTAAAAAATACCAACGTGGTGCTCCAAAGAGGTGTTTCAGTTTATTGCAAGCAAAGCCTATTTAAAGTTGTTTATTTGTCACTCCACGCTGTTGTTGCATGCAAACCTGGCATGAAAAACAACTGATTAAAAAATATTCGCTAGCTAAAGTTCTATCACTCAGTAAAATGCAGACATGCAAGTCAGAATTAGCACTGATGTTACGGTATAAACGTTCCAACAGTCCAGGGTGTTGTACACTTCAATACTTAAATGATTACTCTTGATGAGGACACAAGAAACAACAGTACATCTGTGATTGAATGTGAAGCTCTCTCCAGAATGCTAACCAATTGCATTATGGACAATCTGAAGACCTCGAAGCACTCGATACAAGCCGCTAAAAAGTCACTTGTTTAAAATTTGTCCCCTTTGCAAATAATGTAGCTCTGCTGTCACATTTGTGACTTATGACGGAATAACGTATTGTGTGTGGTTTCTAGCCAGAAATTCTGTCGATGGTTCACGTGCACAGACTGACTCCATGTACAGCACTCATTTTCACCACTGTTGCCTCCTTGCTGGTGCTCATCCCCGGAGACTTTCAGAGTATTGTCAACTTCCACAGGTGAACAAATGTTCAGAATTCAATCGCTTTAAAACAAGCACATGGTAGCTTTTTGTGTGAACTAAAATCCATCTTTCTTGTGTTTGCAAGTTTCCTTGCCTGGTTTTTCGATGCCATTGTGTTGTCTGGCCTCCTCTACCTCAAGATTAAGAAGCCAGAGCTCCCCAGGACATACAGGGTTAGTGCCACCCCTCTAAGTGATAACCTCCAATTCCAATGAAGTTACAAGACAGAACACAATGATTTGCAAATCCTTTTCAACCTACATGCAAGTAAATCTGGTGCAAAAACAACATATTTAACTCTTTTATTCCCCATGACGTATAGATATGTCAAAAAAGCCACTTCAGCCGTCTTCGCATGACTAATTAAGACCTTTTTTTTTTCATCGAAGAGTGCAGAAGGGTCCGGCGCAGCCTCTGACCAAGCATCAGGCTTGTCTGCATTGTAAATAATTTAAAATCTGTCCAGCAGGTGGCAGCTGGTGTAAGGGATCAGTCAGGATCATGCTGCAGAGCAAGCAGAAGTGGAGATTTAAACAGAAGTGCACACATTCCCTGAACTCATTTCACTTCTCTTCATGTCATCAGTTCAATAGAGTGCAGATAAATATCTTTGCAATCAAAAGCCCATTTGTGGTGGTGTTTATGTAGTTGTAGAAGTAAAGCCTTATTTATATGTTTGAGATGTCACAAAAGCAAAAAATCGTGCTTTTACATCTTTGGAGTATATTCCATTGAATACGCAGAAAAGGGACTTGCAAATCATTGTATTGCTTTTATTTATACTTGACACAGCGTCCCAGCGTCATTGGAATTGGGGTTTGTAAAATAAAACCATATACAACAAAAAACACAAATGGATGTCTCTCAGCATCTGTGCTCTTTTCCTTTTTTTCCTTCAGGTTCCCATCATACTGCCCATACTGGTTCTCATCGCAGCAGTATTTCTCGTGCTGGCCCCCATCATTGACGATCCTCAGATCGAATACCTCTATGTGACTTTATTTATCTTCAGTGGGGTCCTCATCTACATCCCTTTCATTCATTACAAGCTCTGCCCAAGCCTGTTAACCAAGTTGACCATTTTCCTACAGCTCTTTTTGCAGGTCGCCCCAGCAGAGAAAAACCTGTGATGCGGACTGAAAGACTCTGTTTGGTTTTCCCGTTGTTTACTGGCAATTTTGAGCCGAATGAAACTTCATAGTTGAGACCTAAAACATCTGATTTTTCTATTCCAGTCGTATTCTGTCTAAAGCTAATTGCAGTGCTGTTCATGTAACCGTCCATGTACTGCTAAGCCAAAACAGACAATCGCACCTTTTAATATTTTATTGGAATCATCGTTCCACAATGAAAGTCTAACAGAGATCTGATGTTGTCACATTGGAAAGGAAAAAGTTGCTCATACATAAAGGTGATAACATTACCTGATGTTGTACTGTTGTTTTCTTTGATTTTACACCAAAAAAATTGATCTGATTAGGCTAGGCCGGGGGTTGGCAACCTGTGGATCTTGCTCATTTCCAGCAAAAATTTTGCATTCAACAAATATCAAATTGCCTTCGCTGAAAATCAAAGTGTAGAGATAAAAATAATTTTGGGACATGATCTAAGAGGAATTCTTATCTTTTACAACCTTTTTATGGTCTCCAGAATCACGCAGACACATTGATAAAACATTGACAAGGTGAGTGGGGTGCAGTTTTATTGGAGTCAAAAGCTTAATGTTTTCCTCATCCTTTCCTGAGTTTTGTCCTTTACTGCAAAAAGACACAGTTTCATCATTTGAAGTGTCGGCGTCAACACTATTTTTGTGCTCTCGGATCTCACCTATACGAGCCAGAAGCCATGAAAATGAAAAGGGAAATCGGTTTGATTGGTGGCGTGGCATTTATTTCGGGGACCATGATTGGATCCGGGATATTCATGTCACCACAGTTTGTGCTGGCCTACGCGGGAAGTCCCGGAGCGAGTTTGTTGATCTGGGCCCTCTGTGGAGTTGTGTCCATGTTTGCGGCCATGTCCTACACCGAACTTGGAACGCTTATTCCTGAATCCGGCGGCGAATTTATTTACATCCTCCGGATCTTTGGGCCTTTTCCTGCTTTCTTTGCAGCAATCACTTTCATCGTTGTTGTCAGGCCTTTTGGCGTTGCTGCAGTGGCACTCGGCATTGCAAAGTATGCAACTGCTCCCTTTTACGTTGGATGTGATCCCCCGCAGCTGTTGGTGAAGTGTGTTGCAGCTGCGGCCATACTGACCGTTGCCATCATCAACGTCATGAACGTACGGATTGCTGTCAGAATCCAAGTTGTCTTCCTGGTGGTCAAGGTCTTAACATTGATGATTATTGTCATCGGAGGAATTGTGGCACTCACACAGAGCCAGCGAGTCCTTGTGCAAAACTTGAATGTTGACGATGCATTTAAGGGCACTCGGTACTCCTTTAGCACTCTTGGAATGGCTTTTTATCAAGGACTCTGGTCATATTCTGGCTGGTACAATTTAAACTATGTCATTGAGGAGCTGAAGAAACCTCAGGTGAGACTGTTAAAAAAAAATGTGGATTTTACATGAAAGTCATTGTTTCCTTCTGAATCAAAGCACTGAACAAGTGTCAGTGTGATATTGTGAATTACCACATGAAAGTTCCACTGGACAAAAGTTATACCCGTAATTGCAGTCTTTTTCTTTTTTGCTGACATTTATTTTATCAATGGCAAACAACACCATCATAAATCAGTTGAAAAGTCACAACTTCACTCCGTGTGTAACAGGGCCAGTAAAATTCAGGTCATAACACTTCTTGCCTTTGAAGCACTTTCTCATATTCAAAAAAAAAAAATCTTCCTTATCAGATTGACTTCAACCTCATGTGCAGAGGCTCAATTGAGATAATGATAGCGCGCACTTAAGCAGAGCAGATCTGAATACCGATCTCAATGCTTCAGTGTGTGCTGATTTGATTCCAAAATGTGAACAGTTTCACTTCAACATGGAGTTCATCAAAGAATTCCAAAATAGTCCAACCGATTTTCGACCAATCCAGGGTGTAGTCTGCCTTTCGCTCAAAGTCAGCTGGGATAGGTTCTCGCTACTCATGAACCTAAACAGGAGAAGATGCATTGAAAGTGAGTGGATCGATGGACTGACCGAGGGATAAACACTCATTTGGTTACAGAAGCTAAGAACAGAAGTATGTGACACTATGGAGAATCCCCAGGCAGGCGAAAATTTCCAATTTATGGACCAAACTTCACAATATTTCATGGTCTTCTTAGTTCAGCCATGCTTTTACCACTTTGGATATAAACTCTGCATCATTGTCACTGTCAAAAGTCCTCACTTTTCTGAATGCTCTGTGGAGGGAACCAACAGTTTTTGGGGTTTTTGTAAAATATTATTCTCCACATGAATAAGGGGGCAGCGGGGTAAGCGAATGTTTTTTTTTTTTTTTTGCATGTTCTCCCCGTGCCTGTGTGGGTTTTCTCCGGGTACTCCGGTTTCCTCCCACATTAAAAAAACATGCATGGCAGGTTCATGGAACACTCTAAAATCGTCTGTAAGTGTGAGTGTGAGTGCGGATGATGGTTGTTTGTGTATATGTGCCCTGAGATTGGCTGGCAACCAGTTCAGGGTGTCCCCCGCCTCCTGCCTGAAGACAGCTGGGATAGGCTCCACCACCCTCCACGGCCCTTGTGAGAATATAGCGGATCGGAAAATGGATGGATGGACAATGAATAAGGGCCCCAGTTTCATCTGATTTGATGTATCCCAAAATAGAACCTCCAATTCCAATGTAGTTGGTGCATTGTGTTCACATAAATAAGAAGAAAATCCACTGATTTGCAAGTTCTTTTCATCCAATTGAATACACTCCAAAGAAAAGATATTTAATGGTGAATCTTCATTATTTTTGTTTATATTTTCATTTGTTTTTACACATATTCACTTAGCTTGCATTTGATGCCTGCAAAAAAGCTGGGACAGGGTCATGTTTACCACTGTGTTCCATCACCTTTCTCTCAAGAAGCTTTTGATCGACCGGTAGCTCGCGGACTGGTCCCGAGTCGATCGCGATGGGTGTAGATGGAGGAAAAAAAACCCCAAACTATTTGTGTGTCTGTGTCTGTCTTATTAATATGATACATTTTTGTGTTAGTGCACTCTTAGCATCCAATCAGTCTCACTTTTCACAAAAAGCATTTTAAAAAATCAAATTCAAAGAAAAAGCAGATCACCTTTTACCTCCGGTGGCCGCGTGACCTACATCACCGGAAGCTGTTAACATTTAGCAGTCTGGAATTGCAGCTTGCGGTCAGAACTGTTACACTATTTCTTTTATTATTATGATGATGATGATGATGATGATGATGATTATTATTATTCTCATTCAGTGTTTGTTTCCTGAACAATTTGCTGAGGGCACTGGCAAAGAATGGCAATCTGAAGGGCCGAGAGAAGCATTTTAAAATGGTACACGTAACACGTAAGCTACTGTCCTGAACACACTGCAAAAGTTGTAACACATGCAGAATATGGGTGTATTATATATATGTATCAGTTCGAATCAGTTCGGGCCTCTTCAGACATCATCAGAGCACGCTTAAACAAATATAGACTTCAGAATATATAGAGGCAATATACAAATGAGAGGCGGACAGTTACGCCACATGAAAACAAGTGACAAACAAGACAAAATCCAATGTTATCTGTCCTGCTCATAAAAGTTGGTATGTGTCGGGAGGCAGGATAGCCACCCCACCAACCTCCTCTTGTCCTCAGCCTGGCCTTTCTTATCACGCCAGCAACATAAAAATTCAAGATTGCGGTTCCTTATGTGATGTTAAACATGTTTTCTGGAAACTCCTTCACAGGTGGGTGTGATTAGAAAGCAAAAAAAAAAAATAGTACATCACAGTATGCAAATTCTTCGACACCACCCTAATCTGGTTAATTTTCAATTAACCTCGGAATCATGTTTTCTGAATGGGGGAGGAAGCTGCAGAAGATCCACGCCGGGAAAACATGCGAAGGCCACATAGCAAGACTGAACCAAGATTCAAACTCCAAACATCAGAACTGTGAGGCAGATGTGCTCACCATTTGGCCAGTAAAAATGAATGACAGGATGTAAAATTAATTCCCCTGGCGTTAAGAAAAATATATTAAGTGTTCAAGTGTGGGATAAAGTTCGGATACGTCGAACGAACCACTTTTGCCAATGTCTCACTGAAACAACACGCATGTACCGGTAATCACATTTAAATAATAGAAGTCTCACTCCTTTCTGTCATGGTGGATCTGTTTGTCACCAACAGGTGGCACTGTAGGGCTCCTCCTACAGCGGCACACCTGTTGGTCAGTCAACTATTTGTAGGTTTTCTATTCCCTGCCCATGCACTCCGTATCGGGTCATTGTTTGTGTTTATGTCATGTTTTTTTTTTTTTTTTTGTTACTTTAGTTTTAGGACTTTGTTTTGGATTTAGTTTTCTCAGTGTTTTCTGAACACATTTTTTTCAGACCACTCTGCTTTTGCCTGCTTTTTAGGGGACCCCACCACCACGTTCATGACACGTTCCTTGTGTTCTTTCATCTGTTGCAGGTGAATCTTCCGAGAGCAGTTGTCATTGCCGTCTCGCTGGTGACTAGCTTGTATCTGCTGGTGAATGTCAGCTACCTGACAGTAATGACGCCGAAAGAGCTAATTTCATCCAGTGCAGTGGCCGTCACATGGGGGTGAGTAGCAGCACCTGACGAAGATGTTTCACTTCTTCAGTTTGATTTCTTCTGTAAAACATGAAAAGGAGCTTGAATATCTAAGCTTCACCTACAGTCAAGACATATACAGTCATTTATTTTTAACCAGTCGTCAGTGTGTACCGTGAGACAATTGTAAGTTGAGGGATTCGTTGTTTTTTCAGTGGATGGCTCTTCTTTACGAATGACAGATGGAGAGATGGAATCCTTTAATGTAGTTTATTAAAAAGGAGAAAGAAAAAAAAACGACTGCACCTCCGAACGGATGAACGAGAACACAACCCCCTTTCAGTCACGAAAACACTTCCTGCTTCTCTTTAGCCAATCAGACGCAAGCAACATAAAAATGTTTCAACAATTATTAAACAGAATATAATTTAGATAACTATAACATAAAATAATATAATGCTCAAATATAAAATGAAAATAATTAATAATTTAACTTAAGCTTACACAATGACACGGGCTTGAGTTTCGAAAAACGAAGAAACAAAATGAACTGTGGTCCTGTGCTCACCCGTATAAGCCACTAAATTGCGCGAGCTCGGGCCACCCTGGCCGACACTCTTACTTTTTAGATGTCAATTTTATTTTGAAACCAATCTGGACACAATAACTACATAATGTTAACTGCTATATTTAATTTATTTTGATTTACAGAGCTCAAATTTTCAGAATTGTTGTGAGTTACAAAGGAATACACTTTATGTATAATAGAACCCAGCCGCTGGGGAGCAGTGCCCTCCCCTGGGGGTGCACTGTTCCCCACTGCCGGTCCCAAGCCCGGAGAAATGGGGAGGGTTGCGTCAGGAATGGCATCCGGCGTAAAACTTTTGCCAAGACGACCATGTGAGTTGGTGGGACGGTTTACAAGGGCGGATGAAAATTACTGACTCGCTGTGGCGACCCCTGAATAGGGACATGCCGAAAGGAGAAGAAGACACTTTATGTATAATATGATGACTTCCTAGATGTTGCAACTATTTTTTACTTTAGCAGTAAGAGAGCAGTAAATAAAATAAGAAAAGTCCGCAAACGGTCGGCGAGAAGCAGTGAAAGTCAGCAAAACAACAGCGAGTCACATAGAGCAACATATACAGTACATTTTCTTTAATGTATATGTTAATTGGTCGCTACTTCGCAGATTTTCAGTGATCCCTCGCGATTTCCGCGATTCGTTTATCGCGGCTTAGGTGCATAGCGGATTTTTTCAAACATATTCATAAAAAAAAAAAAAAAAAAAAAAAATTAATTATTATTTTTTTTGAAGTCCGCAAAAAGTCCGCAAACGGTCGGCGAGAAGCAGTGAAAGTCAGCAAAACAACAGCGAGTCACATAGAGCAACATATACAGTACATTTTTTTTAATGTATATGTTAATTGGTCGCTACTTCGCAGATTTTCATTTATCGGGGTGGTTTTGGTCCCCATTAACCGCGATAAACGAGGGATTACTGTACTGTGCACTTAAACCCATTTGGGGTTCCGACCCTTTGCTCAACAAACCTTGTGTAAATTATGTGGTGAGGAAACATTGCAACGAACCTGAAACTTTTCTACCCACAGAAACAAGGTGTTAGGATCATGGGGGTGGATCATGTCATTAGCTGCAGCTTTGTCAACTTTTGGGACACTAAACGGATCATTCTTCAGTGGTAGTCGCATATCCTTTGTTGCTGCACGTGAAGGACACATGGTGAGAGTCTTGCTGCCCTAAAATTAAGAGATGGTTTTCTCCACAATTAAAAGCAATTGCCTGGTGCCTTCATATTCTTGCTTCCTGCTGCAGAGAGTGTCAACCTGCCTGCCGCTTGGTCCTGCTTTTTCTTGCATTCTTTCTGATGAAAAACTCGTTTTAAAATTTCAGATTTTCCATGATACTTTTTACATTGGTGGGACTGTCCATTCATTTGCAACACCGCTTATCCTGAAAGGGGGGTTGGGGTGCTGGGGCATATTCCAGTTGACTTGGATCAGAAGGCAGCGTACACCCTGAACTGGTAATCAGTCAGTCGCAAGGCACTTATAGAGACAAATAACCATACCAATATCCACACCATCACTGAGTGGGAACCGATCCCATGCTGCCAGCTCACAAGTCAGGCGAGTGTACCAACATTATTCATTAACGCCTAATGACAGCATGAGCATGGCTTGCCGATTAGCACAAAACAGCTATTAGCAACGAAGCAAGATGCCTCCTTTCTCCACTGATGAATATCACAAACTCCAGAAGATGGCACAGCTGGAGACAAAAATGCACCACCTCAAAGTCTTTCATCATTACAACACCCATATCACTTTTGTATAATCCAGATCTTAAATGATTTTGTTTTTCCAATACAGTATCATCAAGTCATCATGCCTTTATGGCAATATCAATCGATGTCATATTCATTCCATTTGTGTGGACTGCGTTCTAAGTCATGACTTTAGAGTTTGGCGCACTCTAGTGTTCGAATTGGAAATTACTTGAAATCAATTCCAAATTCAAATTGGATAAACTGCCTATTCCTGGGAGTTAAACGTTAACTTATTCATTTATTTCGCAATAAATGCAACACCATCACTTCATCTTAACATGGCGCTCCTGTTACATGATTTATATATTTTATCTTAAACCTCGGCTCAATCCAACAGCGCACATCGTAACACTGCATTGTGAGGTGTGTGTGTTTAAAGGTTATTAAGCTTTAAGTTTCACATGAGAGCTCGACATTCTCCAAACATAGCATATCTTTCCAATGACTGATTTCAAGAGGGTTTTTTTTGTTGGTTTTCGCATTTCAATCTTAATCAAAAAACCAACGTGGTGCTCCAAAGAGGTGATTGAGTTTATTGCAAGCAAAGCCAATTTAAAGTAGTGTGTCACTCCACGTTGTTGTTCGATGCAAAACTGGCGTGTAAAACAATTGATTAAACAACGAATATCCGCCAGCTAAAATGTTATCACTCAGTAAGAGGCAGACATGCTAGTCAAAATTAGCACTGATGTTACTGTAAAATATAAACCTTCAAACAGCCCAGCGCGTTGTATACATTAATCCCTCACACTGCCGCGAAAAGTGAAAAACCACTTGTGCTGTCATTGGTCGACGTCACGCGGGGAACCAATCATGCGCCTTGAATGAGTACCCATTGCATAGCACAGTACAGGCATGTACAAAACCTCTGAGTCGTTCTGCATTTTTTTCTGAATACAGTACTTTGGGGAAAAAAAAAAGTGAGGTACTGAAGCCGCGATAAATGAAGCGCGATTTCGTACCAGATCACTGGACCTAAATTCTTAAATGGTTCCTCTTACTGAGGACACAGGAAACAACAGTACATCTGTGGTTAACTGTGAAGCTCTCTCCAGGATGATAACTATTTGCATTATGGGCAATCCGATGAGCTCGAAGCACTCAATACAAGCCACTAAAAAGTCACTTGTCTAAAATGTGTCTTCTATGCAAATAACGTTGCTCTGTTGTCACAGTTGAGACTTGTGCGGGAATAACGTATTGTGTGTGGTTTCTAGCCAGAAATTCTGTCCATGGCTCACGTGCACAGACTGACTCCATCTCCAGCACTCATTTTCACCACTGTTGTCTCCTTGCTGGTGCTCATCCCCGGAGACTTTCAGAGTATTGTCAACTTCCACAGGTGAACACAGGTTCGGAATTGAAACCCTTGGAAACAAGCACATGATACCTTTTTGTGTAAACTGAAATCCATCTTTCTTGTGTTTGCAAGTTTCCTTGCCTGGTTTTTCTATGCCACTGCATTGTCTGGCCTCCTCTACCTTAAGATTAGGAAGCCAGAGCTCCCAAGGACATACAGGGTTAGTGCCATCTATGACCTTACCATCTAACCTATAACCTCCAATGAAGTTGCAAAACAGAATACTGTACAGTGATTTGCAAATCCTTTTCAACCTATATGGAACAAAAACATATTTAACTCTTTGATTCCCCATGATGGTTAAATATGTATAAACAAAAAAAAGCCACGACAACTGTCTGTCTACCCATGACTTATTTCAACGTTTTTTTTTTTTTGTTTGTTTTTTTTCATCAAAGTGCAGAAGGGTCTGGTGTAGCCTCTGACAAAGGATCAGGCTTGTCTGCAATGTAAATCTTTTAAAATCTGTCTGGCAGTTGGCAGCTGGTGTAAGGATCAGCCAGGATCATGCTGCAGAGAAAGTAGAAGTTGAGGGGATGGGATGCATGGGCGGAGTTGTGAAGTAGCATAGCCGGGTGAGGAGTTAGTAGAAAATGTATTAGAACCAGTAGCAATGGAGGAATCAAAAGAACCCGTGAGGATTGCTTTTGGGGAAGAAAATCTTCCACCATGACGAGGGAGATGGAGTTGCCGAAAGCAGCAGGGCGCTAAAAAGCAGCCATCAAAAGAGGCTCCGTGGGCACAAACATCATCTACCAGTCTACCTCAATCAAAAGCCACACCTCAGCGAAAGTGCCTTCACAAAGTGAAATCGGAATGAGGTGTAAGACATGTGTGACACCTGTACCAGGGCAATTGCTTCATTTGATATCACACAAAAAATATGTATGTACCGTAGTGTGTGTGTGTGTGTGTGTGTGTGTGTGTGTGTGTGTGTGTGTGTGTGTATATATATATAT